AGATGTTAAGTTTTTACTACTAACATTTAATGAAAAACAATGACATCCCCCCCCCCTTTGGCAGGGCCAATTTTAACCAAAGGGCTTTTATTTGAACAAACTTGGTAGACACCCACAAAAAGATGTTTCCTGCAATCTAACCTCTAGCTCATTGGGTTTTTTAAAAGAAGATTTTTTAAGTTTTTACTATACACATATAGTTAAAAACAATGACACCTCTGGGGCGGGGCCAGTTTTTGAACAAACTTTGTAGACACTAGCTAGAAGAAGTTTCATGCTTAATATCTAAACTCTAGCTATTTGGGTTTTTTTTCAAAGAAGATTTTTAAGTTTTTGCCAAACACATATAAGGAAAATCAATGACCCCCAGGGCGGGGCCAATTTTAACCTAGGGCTTTTATTTGAACAAACTTTGTAGACACTCACTAGAAGATGTTTCATGCTTAATATCTAAACTCTAGCTATTTGGGTAAATTTTTCAAAGAAGATTTTTTAAGTTTTTGCTTTACACATATAAGGAAAATCAACGACCCCCGGGGCCGGGCCAATTTTGACCCCAGGGCTTTTACTTGAACAAACTTTGTAGACACCCATTAGCACATGTTTCATGCTAAATATCTTAGCTCTAGCTCTTTGGTTCTTTAAAAGAAGATTTTTTACAGTTTTTACTATATGCATATAGGGGAAATTAATGACCGCCTGGGGCGGGGCCAATTTTGACACCAGGGCTTTTATTTGAACAAACTTGGTAGACACTTATTAGAAGATGTTTCATGCTAAATATCTTAGCTCTTGCTCTATGTGTTCTTTAAAAAAAGATTTTTTAAATTTTTACTATATGCATATAGGGAAAACCAATGACCCCCTGGGGCGGGGCCAATTTTGACCCCAGGGCTTTTATTTGAACAAACTTGGTAGACACTTATTAGAAGATGTTTCATGCTAAATATCTTAGCTCTAGCTCTATGGGTTCTTTAAAAGAAGATTTTTAAAGTTTTTACTATATGCATATAGGGAAAATCAATGACCCCCGGGGCGGGCCAATATTGACCCCAGGGCTTTTATTTGAACAAACTTTGTAGACATCCATTAGAACATGTTTCATGCTAAATATCTTAGCTGTAGCTCTTTGGGTTCTTTAAAAGAACATTTTTTAAGTTTTTACTATATATACTTAACTTCATTTATTTAGGTGTCAAAAAAGCTACTGGCTTAGATGGTATACCCTCACGTTTTATCAGAGATGGATCCCAGTTATTGCTAGTCCATTAGCTCATATCATAAACTTATCCCTTATCCAAGGTCAAGTCCCTGATGATCTTAAATCTGCAAGAGTTGTTCCCCTCTATAAAAAGAACGACAAATTGTCTGTTGGTAATTACCGGCCTGTGTCCATTTTAAATGTTGTATCTAAAATCCTTGAAAAGGTGGTTTATGACCAGGTTGAAGCTTATTTTAAGGATAAAGATCTGCTGTATAAATTTCAATCAGGTTTCAGGAGTGGCTTCTCTACTGATACTTGTCTCATTCACCTTACAGACTTTATCAGGTATGAAAATGATAAAGGTAATGTTGTTGTTATGGTGCTGCTGGATTTGCAGAAAGCGTTTGACACAGTCGACCATTCCATTCTTTTAATGAAACTGCAAGCATCAGGTCTTAGTAATGACGTCCTAAATTGGTTCAAATCATATTTATCAGATAGACAGCAGCTTGTAGATGTCTCTGGTACTTATTCTTCCAATTCCAAAATAACATGTGGTGTTCCTCAGGGCTCAATCCTTGGACCCCTTCTCTTTTTAATTTATGTAAATGATATGTCAGCTGTGGTCAAAAATAAATTGCTTTTGTATGCTGATGATTCTGCTATCCTTGTATCTGGTAAAAGTTTATCTGTTGTTGAAAAGGCATTGACAGATGATATGGAATTGGTTAGCTTAAGGTCTTCAGCGTACCCGTTTATATATATGACATGACGTGAATGCCGCATCTGATGAAAAACAAAAATGTTAAAAAGCGGCTTAAGTTTTGGAAGCCAGAACTAGGAATTGGTCAGCCAATGGTTAGTGGACAATAAGTTGTCATTGCACTTGGGTAAAACCGAGTCAATTTTATTTGGGTCCAGGCAAAAGCTTAGGTCACAATCTAACCTGCATATAACCTGTTCTGGTACATCCATTGAATCAACTTCATCTATCAAGTATCTTGGGATTACTATAGACCAAAATCTGTCATTTTGCGCCATGGCTGAGTCTGTTCTTAAGAAGGCCAACTCTCGGATAAAATTTCTTTACCGCAAGAAAAAGAGTTTCTTACTCAGCATACCAAGAAACTTCTGGTTATGTCTCTTATTCAGTGTCACTATGATTACGCATGCTCTGTTTGGTATAATAGCTTGACACAGTCTTTAAAAAATAAGTTACAAACTTGTCAAAACAAAATAATGAGATTTGTACTTGACTTGGACTCCAGAGCCCACATTGACCCATCCCACTTTAAGTCCCTTAACTGGTTACCAGTCCACAAAAGAGTTGAACAGATAATGTTGTGTCATGTGTTTAAGATAAAAAATGGCCTATCTCCGGATTACATGTCTGAACACTTTATTTCACAAGATTCCATTCATAATTATAGTACAAGACTTAGTCAAAAGGGTGGATATTGTCTACCTAAGGTCAAAGGCCAGGGTTCTAAATCATTTGCTTTCTCTGGTATTAAATTATGGAATGATTTACCTGTAAAGTTAACGGAGATCAACAAGTTACAAAGTTTTAAGGTTGCCATCAAAAGTCATCTTATGAACAGTATTTAAAAATTTTTTAAACATGTTTTTACATATTTCGGCTCAGGATTTTAAATTGTCTGCTATTTATCTTATTACAATTTAAGTAATGTGTTTTAAATCCTAGCTGTAAACAGGAGTATCATTAACTCAAGATTTGACTGTGATATACATTTTTATGATTTATTAGTATTTTTAAACATGATTATATTTAGGTTTGCCTCTCTATGTCATGCTGCCAATACAAAGGACCACAATGGAAATAAGAGCTTTTTTGCCCTTTTTTGTGTTATCCTTGGTTTTGGTGAGCATGTCATAGTTTTACTCATATTGTGATATAGTATTTAATAATGCTCATTATTTTATCCTATGTTATATTGTCAACTATGTACATGTATATGCTTCCTTTGCCGAAATAAATCTATCTATATATGCATATAGGGAAAAACAAAACATAAATTAATGACCGCCTGGGGCGGGGCCAATTTTGACCCCAGGGCTTTTATTTGAACAAACTTGGTAGACACTTATTAGAAGATGTCTCATGCTAAATATCTTAGCTCTAGCTCTATGGGTTCTTCAAAAGAAGATTTTTTAAGTTTTTACTATATGCATATAGGGAAAATCAATGACCCCCTGGGGCAGGGCCAATTTTGACCCCAGGGCTTTTATTTGAACAAACTTGGTAGACACTTATTAGAAGATGTTTCATGCTAGATATCTTAGCTCTAGCTCTATGGGTTCTTTAAAGGAAGATTTTTTAAGTTTTTACTATATGCACATAGAGAAAATCAATGACCCCCTGGGGCGGGGTCAATTTTGACCCCAGGGCTTTTATTTGAACAAACTTGGTAGACACTTACTAGATGATGTTTCATGCTAAATATCTTAGCTCTAGCTCCATGGGTTCTTTAAAAGAAGAATTTTTAGGTTTTTACTATATGTATATAGGGAAAATCAATGACCCCCTGGGGCGGGGCTAATTTTGACCCCAGGGCTTTCATTTGAACAACTTGGTAGACACTTACTAGCAGATGTTTCATGCCAAATATCTAAGCTCTAGCTCTTTGGGTTTTTTAAAAAGAAGATATTTAAAGTTTTTTCTTTCGGTTGCCATGGCAACCAGAGTTCTGCATGGAATTAAATTCTTTGAACAATTTTTAAAGGTGGCCACCAAAGGGACATTCCTGTGAAGTTTGGATGAAATTGGCTTAGTGGTTTATGAGGAGATGTCATTTAAAGTAAAAGTTTATGGACGGACGACGGACGTACGAAAAACGATCACAAAAGCTCACCCTGTCACTTTGTGACAGGGTGAGCTAAAAAGGTTAAGGTAGTAATTGAATAATTCAACATATGGGTTTAGTCAAATGGGTTCTTTCGTTAAAGTATAAATCAAATCTGTAAATACATAACAAAGTAATGACATGCCTAACCACTAAATTCAATATTTGACTTTAATGATCAAGGTATTTTAAAGGTCATATTTGAGTTACTTAACTGATTTATTATACATGTTCTTTTGTGAATGTACAAATCAAATCCATAAATAAATAACAACTATAAGTCTATTTGTAACAAATTAACTAATTTGACCTTTCATGTCAAAGTATAATGTATTTTGCACTATTCTCCAAAATCTAAAATGACTAATTATACTCTTCTGGGAGACTCGTTACTGGTGGCAAGTATAAGTAAACTCAATTATACATAAAATCCACTTCAAAAAGTTGCATGCCTACTATCCAAGGCCTACCCATTTTGGTTTCGGGAGAATTTTTTTTTAAGTTTTAACTTTATACATAAAAGGAAGACCATGGGAGGAAGAGTATAATTTGAGCAAACTTATACTCATTTGAGCAAACTTATACTCATTTGAGCAAACTTATAAGACCTACTAGCAATGTTACATGCCCAATATCTAAGCTTGTAATTTTGTAGATTTTTAAATTTTCTTCTCTCGCTTGCCATGGCAACTGGAGTTCTGCATGGATGGAATTCTTTGAATAATTTTGAAAAAGTTTCATGCTAGGAACAATCCTGCTTAGTTTTAAAAACATTGTATTGTCTTTAGATAAAAAAAAATTATTGAAGGAATTCAGGACATTGTTATTAAGCTCTCCTCTTGCTAGTTTAATTGAAACCTTATCAAATGTTCACATGCCTAAATATCAGCATCATTGCTTTTTTGATTTCACAAAAACAACAAACACACATAAATATATATTACATAATACAAATAATTTATTGTATACTTTTAACATAATTTGAAATTTCATATCAGTATGTTTTCTTGTTTCTATGTTTGAAAAGATATTTGTAAAGAAAATACAACTATACATGTAAATGTAAATGAAAGTTTTGTTACATAATATTGACATATATAGTGAGCACAGTGATCTTTTATTAGATGTAAAATTAATATTGGTCATCAATTATTATATTATGGTATACTGGTCACTTTTCATAAAGAAATACAATGTATTGAAGATAAAGAATAAATGACCATCATTTTATTTTTAATGTTGTTTCATTGCATTTCAAACAGAAGCACTTATATAATCAATATGATATTTTAAAAGTCAAACTCCTCATCTATGTCACCAACATATTCACATATACAATCATAGTCCAGTTGTAAAACTTTGTCCCGGTCACTCAATAACTGTACTAAAGCTTGACATTTTTTCTTGTCCCTTTCTAACACATGTCCTAGCTGAAAATACACAAGATAAAAAATAAAGAAAGAAAAATAATAAGATTATTATAAAACAGTACAAAGTCAACAAGTAAGAATATTGTCAATCCATAAATGTCCTCTACCGAAAGACCTTATCACCCTTAAATAAACCAAAGTTCAAATACTGAAATCGACTTTTAAAATACCAATGAACATTTATAAAAAGAAAAAAAAAGATGAGTGAAATATAATAGAGAACAACCTGCTATATTTTCTAAACAAGAGGGCCATGATGGCCCTGAGTCGCTCACCAGAAACAACTGCTTTTCAGTATTGGAAATTATCCATTGTCAATATTTTCTGATATTAAATTTGAGCCAATCAAATTAATATGAGCAAACTTGATAAAAGACTACCTAATAATGCTACAAAGTTTGGTGATCATCTATCAATTATTTCAGTAGGAAATGATGTTCAAAGGTTTTTCTATTTTTGGCTTTAGTGGCCCCTAAAAGGGGCCAGTCAAATTAATATGAGCAAATTTGATAAAAGCGTACCTAAGAATGCTACAAAGTTTGGTGATCATCCATCAATTAGTTCTGTAGAAATAGACGTTTAAAGGTATTTCTATTTTTAGCTTTAGCTGCCCCTAAAAGGGGCCAATCAAATTAATATGAGCAAACTTGATAAAAGACTACCCAAGAATGCTACAGACAAATTTTTTTTTTTTTTTTTTTTTTTTTTTTTTTTATTTCCCTCGTCATGGGTATGTGGGGGTCGAGGGCATCCCCCTCCATACCTTACAAAGATTTTATTTATCATATTATATATACACATGTATCAAATATTTGTTGATTTAGTAACAATTATTGTCATTGAGTATTAATCACAACTTCACATTTCCACAATACAAATGTACATACACAAAATAATATACAAACAAAATCACAAGGGAAATAAAAGAAGAGAAAAAAAGGAAAGGTAGCTCATAGATTGAACAGAGAAAACATTATGTTGTTGTTTCTTATACTCAAACTTTTAACAAAAAGCAATGGCTGTATATTAATAAATTATAAATTTACATTACTCTAAAAAGAATTAAATGATTTTTTGAACAATTGTCCAATTCGTTATGTTATCTTTTGTATTTGTTGCACATGCATCAATAATTGAAGAGGCTAATTTAAAACTTCTAATTAATCCATCTATATTTGGTAAAATATTTTTTCTCCTACATAAATAAACATATTTCTTTATCTCTAGACATAGGATATTGTACTTTGACTGGCTCTTTTTTGTATAACTTAATATAAAAGTTTGACAATTATCAATATCAAATAAAGCATCATGATTCCTAACAATTTTAATAATTTCTGTAATCAATATATTAACAAGTGAGCATTCCCAAAATAGGTGTAACAATGTTTCATGTTCTGATTTACAAAAAGTACACATACTTGTAACAGATAAATTCATTTTCAAAAGAAGATAATTAGTAGCTAATATTCTATGTGTTAGTCTTGTCTGAAACCATTGCAAGTAAGAGTCATTGGTAATGTCAAAAACCCAACTATGTATTTTATTCCAGTCAGATCCACTACCCAAGAATGCTACAGACAAAGTTTGGTGATCATCCATAAATTAGTTCTGTAGAAGAAGACGTTTAAAGGGTTTTCTTTTTTTAGCCCTAGAGACCCCTAAAAGGGGCCAGTCAAATTAATATGATCAAACTTGATAAAAGACTACCTAAGAATGCTACAGACAAAATTTGGTGATCATTCATCAATTAGTTCTATAGAAGAACACGTTTAAAGGTTTTTCTATATTTAGCCCTAGAGACCCCTAAAAGGGGCCAATCAAATAAACATGAGCAAACTTGATAAACAAGAGGGCCATAATGGCCCTGAAGTCGCTCACCTGTATATAGGCCCCTGGAGCGGGCCAGTTTAAACTCCAGGGCTTAAATTTGAACAAACTCACTAAAAGATGTTTCATGCTTAGTATCTAACCCTTAGCTATTTGGTTTCTTTTCAAAAAAGATTTTTTAAGTTTTTGCTATACGTATATAAGGAAAATCAATGACCCCCGGGGCGGGGCCAATTTTGACCCCAGGGCTCTTATTTAAACAAACTTGGTAGACATCCATTAGAACATGTTTCATGCTACATATCTTAGCTCTAGCTCTTTGGGTTCTTTAAAAGAAGTCTTTTAAGTTTTTACTATATGCATATAGGGAAAATCAATGACCCCCTGGGGCGGGGCCAATTTTGACCCCAGGGCTTTTATTTGAACAAACTTGGTAGACAGTCCATTAGAAAATGTTTTATGCTAAATATCTTAGCTCTAGCTCTTGGGGTTCTTTAAAAGAAGATTTTTAAGTTTTTACTATATGCATATAGGGAAAATCAATGATCCCCTTGGGCGGGGCCAATATTGACGCCAGGGCTTTTATTTGAACAAACTTGGTAGACACTCACTAGAAAATGTTTCATGCCAAATATCTAAGCTCTAGCTCTTTGGGTTTTTTAGAAGAAGATATTTAAAGTTTTTTCTTTTGGTTGCCATGGCAACCAGAGTTCTGCATGGAATTAAATTCTTTGAACAATTTTCAAAGGTGACCACCAAAGGAACATTCCTGTGAAGTTTGGATGAAATTGACTTGGTGGTTTATGAGGAGATGTCATTTAAAGTAAAAGTTTATGGACGACGGACGAAAAGTGATCACAAATGCTCACCCTGTCACTTTGTGACAGGTGAGCTAAAAACTACCCAAGAATGCTACAGACAAAGTTTGGTGATCATCCATCAATTACTTCTGTAGAAATAGATGTTTAAAGGTATTTCTATTTTTACCTTTAGCTGCCCCTAAAAGGGGCCAATCACAATAATATGAGCAAACTTGATATATGACTACCCAAGAATGCTACAAAGTTTGGTGATCATCCATCAATTAGTTCTGTAGAAATAGACGTTTAAAGGGTTTTCTATTTTTAGCCCTAGAGACCCCTACAAGGGGCCAATCAAATTAATATGAGCAAATTTGATAAAGACTACCCAAGAATGATACAGACAAAGTCTGGTGATCATCCATTAATTAGTTTTCTAGATATAGATGTTAAAAGGTATTTCTATTTTTAGCTTTAGCGGCCCCCAAAAGGGGCCAATCAAATTAATATGAGCAAACTTGATAAAAGACTACCCAAGAATGCTACAGACAAAGTTTGGTGATCATTCATCAATTAGTCTGTAAAAGAAAACGTTTAAAGGTTTTTCTATTTTTAGCCCTAGAGACCCCTTAAAGGGGACAATCAAATTAATATGAGCAAATTTGATAAAAGACTACCAAAGAATGCTACAGACAAAGTTTGGTGATCATCCATCAATTAGTTCTGTAGTAGAAGATGTTTAAAGGTTTTTCTATTTTTAGCTCTGTTGACCCCTAAAAGGAGCCAATTGAAATGACGTGAGCAAATTCAAGTGTGACAGTCACAAGGATGCTACAGACCAAATTTGAAGTAAATCTGCTCAGTAGTTTCAGAGAAGAAGACGATTGTTGACGCATGACGACGGACGTAGTATCCCCCTTTGATACTAATAGCTCACCCTGAGCCGAAGGCTCTGGTGAGCTAATAAAAAACCAGCCAAATTATATCAGTATAAGGGGCAAACTTATGCAACAGTTTGTATAAACTAACAATAGCACTAACAAAATTTGTAAAAAGTCTCATAATCAAATGCATCAATAGGTTCCAAAATTATGCAAGGAAATGTTACTTCTTTTAAAACTCTACTGTGAAAAATTGTAGGATAATTTTGTACAATCAAAGGTCAGAGTAATGGGACATGAAATGTGAACTGGTCTTTTGTGTCTAAAAACATGTAGTATCTTTAAAATTGATATTTTTTAACTTCTTGCAATATTTTAAGGATATCTGTTTCCATAACAACCATAATTATTTCAGAACATGCATCCTCTCCATATCATGATGTTTCAATATTTCAAGTGACATGAAAATCTTCAGAGTACATTTTTAATTATCACAGCATCCAGTTCTTGAAAATTTCAAGTCCTATTTGTTGTTATAGCAACAATATTTCTAAACTTAGGACCAAATGAAAGTTATACTGTTAAGTAAAAAAGAAACTATCCCTGTGAATGTTAAAGAACAAACACATTGATTTTACAAACCTGTTAAGCACCTGCATACAATAATTCTTCCATGAGTTGTTGCACCTCTTATAAAAGAATGGTTATAAAAATATTCAACTTAACATAAGTTTCTGGCAGAAAATTATTCAAGAGTAAATTTTTCATATATTAATGTATCATTTTAAATACCTGTCCTTTGTGTTTTCCTGACACAATAGATATATAAGAGGAATCAGATTTTGGCACCATAGTTTCTAACATAGACTGTGATACATCTGAAAATAAACACAATACAACAAATTATCTAACTTTGAATACTTTAAGTTTAGAAATCTAACATTTCAAAGTAGGATATTTTAAAAAAGTGAGTTTTTAATGATACATCACATGTTAAAAATATGCCACTTGCATTCAGAACTTGCTTTTTTTGTGTATTTTTTTTACCATTTTAACTTGTTGTGCTCCTAAAATACTTCCCAATTACCTGAATTTTTTGTCTGCCAAAATTTCCATCAATTTATCATAAATGATGGTAACATCAGAGTTCTGTTATGTCACATGGTAACATCGGAGATCTGTTATGTCACATGGTAACATCAGAGTTCTATAATGTCACATGGTAACATCAGAGTTCTATAATGTCACATGGTAACATCGGAGATCTATAATGTCACATGGTAACATCAGAGTTCTATAATGTCACATGGTAACATCAGAGTTCTGTTATGTCACATGGTAACATCGGAGATCTATAATGTCACATGGTAACATCGGAGATCTGTTATGTCACATGGTAACATCAGAGTTCTATAATGTCACATGGTAACATCAGAGTTCTATAATGTCACATGGTAACATCGGAGTTCTATAATGTCACATGGTAACATCAGAGATCTGTAATGTCACATGGTAACATCGGAGTTCTGTTATGTCACATGGTAACATCGGAGATCTATAATGTCACATGGTAACATCTGAGATCTATAATGTCACATGGTAACATCAGGGATATGTAATGTCACATGGTAACATCGGAGATCTATAATGTCACATGGTAACATCAGAGTTCTATAATGTCACATGGTAACATCAGAGTTCTATAATGTCACATGGTAACATCAGAGATCTGTAATGTCACATGGTAACATCGGAGTTCTGTTATGTCACATGGTAACATCGGAGATCTATAATGTCACATGGTACATCTGAGATCTATAATGTCACATGGTAACATCAGGGATATGTAATGTCACATGGTAACATCGGAGATCTATAATGTCACATGGTAACATCAGAGTTCTATAATGTCACATGGTAACATCTGAGATCTATAATGTCACATGGTAACATCGGAGTTCTATAATGTCACATGGTAACATCTGAGATCTATAATGTCACATGGTAACATCTGAGATCTGTAATGTCACATGGTAACATCGGAGTTCTATAATGTCACATGGTAACATCGGAGTTCTATAATGTCACATGGTAACATCAAGGATCTGTAATGTCACATGGTAACATCGGAGTTCTATAATGTCACATGGTAACATCAAGGATCTGTTATGTCACATGGTAACATCGGAGTTCTATAATGTCACATGGTAACATCAAGGATCTGTAATGTCACATGGTAACATCAGAGATCTGTAATGCCACATGGAAACATCGGAGATCTATGTCACATGGTAACATCGGAGATCTGTTATGTCACATGTTTACACTACTTATCTATCTACTGACATTATGAAACAGTCCTCATGTTCACAATAGGTGCCGGGTTTAAGCTATTAGTTTGAGACCTCTACCTTGTATATTGACTAGGTATATAAATATCATATCCCATTGATGGTGCATTACATCATTTGTTTTGGGTGAACTTGTCACCCTCAGTAGGATGTGATATTCATATAATGTCATGTTATAATGTCATGTTATAATGTCATGTATGTTTATATTGACACATAGTTTACTGACATACAGCTTATCTACATGAGGAATCAATATTACAATACTGCTAACAAACTATAAATTTTAATAAGAAATTAAACAAAGATTGAGACATGGCAGTATAAAGTTTACCTTCTAAAATTTTCCCATCATCTGTTTTACACATACAATGATCCCTGTCTGATACATCAACTATCACCACCTGACAAACAATAAAATATAGCATAAATATTTATAATGATAAAACAACAAAATGTCATTTTGGAACTACTATTTTTCCTGCTGTATGTTAATATCGGTCTTACCTCTAGATAAAAATCATTTAGAAGCTATTAGCAACCTTAAAATAACAATTGTCAATCAATATTATAATCTTACAGTAGCACGCACGTGAGTTAAACTATCAAATATGAGTAAGCTAGTTTGGTATTTTTTTCAAGTTTAGAGAATTCCACACCCTAGTTGAGATTCAAACCAACAAATATGAGAGGCAAGTGAATGTCAGCTACAAATGTTGATCACCTGGTCATGTACAAACCTATCTAGAATAAAATATACATATGCTCCCTTTTTTAAAATATAGATAGAATCATGTATAAATTTCTTGTTAATGATTAATTATAAAGTTATAAAGTACCTTGTTATTATAATATTTTCCTTTCTTGTATTGTTCATCAACAAGTCGTACCCGCAACTTTGGACGAACCCAGATAGAAGATTGAGATTTACTGCCTCCATTTGTATATGAAGAAGATGAGGTATATTTATCATGTGATCTGAAGAAAAACAAAACAACATTTATATAGAACTTGTACTTCTTGCACAAAATTAGTAAGTAAGTAAGATAGTAATGCCTTTATTCACTTATTTCAATCAAATTCAATAACAAGATTTTTCTCTAGATGAATTATTTTATTTCAGTTAATAAATTATAACAGTTGAGCATTACACATGCAAAAATAACCATAAAAATAAATTCTTGAACAAACATAATTCAACGAATGTAAAGGGCAGAGACAAACTTTACTAAACTATGAAGAAATTTTAACTGAACTTTTTGTTGAAAGTAATCATACATATAGTAAGCAACATCAATCTACTAGACAATTAGATATGTTGTCCTGACTTTATCACTGTCCTAACTTTATCATTAATCCGCTGAATTACAGTCATTAACATGTCTTAATTCATATTTGGGTCTGCACTTTCCATGTCTTAAATATTCTGGTATAAAAATGTTAAAAATAATCAGGTTACAGTATTGGTCAAGTTTCCTGGACCTGTATGCTATCATTATCTGTCATGATTGTATAAGCTGGTCAATATGTCAGCTGAAAGTGAACTTTTTATTTCAAAAATATACATTATCATTTTTATGACAAAATAATTATTTCTAATACAAATATATACCTGAGATCATCATGTTTTCTTTTCTTGTTTGATCTGTCTTTATCTCTATTTTTATCCTTCTTTCTATCATGCTGACCTTTATATACATCATCATCTGCTGATAATCTGTCTTCTTCTTTTCTATGTTTGTTTTCTCTGTGTGATTCATTCTCTCTATCCGAGTCTCTATGTTTCTTTTCCTTTCTAATTTCTTCTTTTTCTTTATACCTATCTGCAGCACCTTTGTCTGTGTATAAATGTTAAACAACATTATTATCAGAATTTATAGTAATACTTCTGTGTAAATTCACGGATATCAGTATCAGCGACAGTTAGTCTGACTTCGAATAATAGGTGTAAAATTGTCATAATTGTATATTTGGGACCAAATTTTTACTTCGAAAAATAGGAGGTATTGGGATAATTCATTTCGAATAATACCTTCGTATGTATTTATATTGAATTATATAGAGATAAAATTAGGACCGCAGATCTTCTTCGGATAATGCCGGGTATTCGATTTAAAGGGTTGTCTAATAACCGGGGTCAGACTGCATTGAGGTGTTTGTATTTTTACAAATGCCTTACTGTACCATTTAAATTTAATAAATTTAAACAGTTTTTTTTTTTACTTACTGATATATTTGGAGTATTTGTTGTATTCTTCCTGGGTAACAAGTTTTGTATTGTATTGACTAACAGTAACAAGTTTACCACTCACTGTTAACTTCAACATTAACCTGGCATTGTCCTCATCTAGTCCTTCTATCTGTTTATATATAATTACAAACATTCAATCATCATTTAATATAACACACAAATACAATGTGTGTTTTGTTTTCATTCCAAGATATAACTGAGCATATGTAATTGTAGTTTCTAGTTCATATGAAGATTAGAGTAGTTTTATAATATTTAATCAATGGGTCAAAGACAGAAAAGGCCAGGTTGCATTTGTGTACCAAATATCATGATGCTGTGATGTTTCTAAAAAAAAATTACCACTGACCATTAATGTCGGAAATTTAACTTAGTAAACAGGAAGTGGATGAGTAACAGACCTGAAATCAAATCTCACGGTATGGGACCACATGTAAATGCTGTATGCCAAATATCAAGAAGCTGTGATAAGTAGTTGCTGAGAAAACTGTTATGAAAATTTCCTACCATAGACCATTAACCAAAAGGTTGTTCAGAAAATTGGTCAATAAGTGACTTTTAATGAGGTATAAATTATAACATACATTCTATGAATTTATGAATTTATAAAACGCAAGTTAATTTGTAAAATCCAAAAAGCTAATAATATTATTCCATTTTGGTTACTTAACATATATACATGATGGGAAAAAAACCAACAGTGTAATAACATTTTTAACTTTTGATTTTTTTTGTACTTACAACTGCATAAAGATCTTTATGTGGTCCATTTTGTATCAAACAATGAGCACCTTTCTTCATAGTTAGCTCCCCTGAATCCTCATTTTTCTTTGAGTTACCTCCCTGTTTAGTACTATTTAAAGTCTGAGCCTGCTTTCTATCAGCACCAAGGCCCATTCCTTTAGGACGAAGAACAGCATCCACTGGGGCAACATCTCTGAAAATGAATTCAAAAAATTTACCAATACAGTAAAACTTCGGTAAGTCGAATTTCAAGAGACTTGTGTAAAAACTGGGACACATCGGGACTTCGACTCATGAACTGGTCTCAATTATATGACAAAATTTCTATACGTGACCAGTCCTAATTATAAGATTTATAACGTACCTATTTCATGTTTTTCCTTCATTATTCTGATATTTTACATTTTACAATGATAAATATAACATGTTAAATAACATTTTTCACGGCTTATCATTTGGATTTCGCGTTGACGTATACAATGAAGCTACATAAGGCGAGACAATACGAAAGAGCAATAACTAAGCCAGCTTATAGTAAATATTTCTCGAGTGAGATTATCACACATCACTGGGTGATGGAAATTCTCAAATGAAAGTGGTTCTTACTGTTCACTTTCAAATACCACTACGGTAATTAAAACAGTAACGATAAGCATTTTATCACACATTTAAACGCATGCATAGGCTGTCTGAACACACGGCTGTGTAATTAACACCTGTCACAAAAGTTGATCAGAAATCAGTCTTCGCAGCCAGATAAAGTGAGATTGAAGGTGTCAAAATAATTGAAGGACTTCGACTTTTTGTGGTAAATTGTACTAGATTTATTCTATACACGGACCACGAAAAAACTTCGACACATCGAAAAATTCGACACATAAAATTTCGACTCATAAATAGGTTTCTATAAGGAATATATAGGGAACAAAATCGGGACTTTCATTTCACTTTGACACATCGAGAAAATCGACTAATCAAACTTTGACTCATAGAAGTTCTACTATACTTTTAGAGGTGATTTTCTTTATATAATTTATTCAATATTGTAGAACCTCAAAAATAAGCTTTTGTTTGAATACAGGAGCATATGGAAAATAATCATAAATTTTCCTTGCCAAAAATATTGTATCCAAATATAAGCTCAAATATATTACTAATGGATTATAAATGCCTGAATATATAGAGGATATTTGTTTAGTTCAGTGTTTAAATTCAAAACAATGAAATTATCAAAGTTTTATATCACTGATATATTTCTATAAACCACTGAAAAGCATGTAATAAAAGTGCATAACCCTTTTGTTACTCTCAGTTTTGACACAAAAATTGATCAGCCCATGTCAAAAATAAACACATATTCCGTGGCCTGTCTAAGAATAGGACCTGTCTCAGCACATATCAAAGAACAAGTGCATAAAAACTTAGAAATATATGCTTATTTCTGAGATTCTACAGTATATTGTTTAAAACATAATCAAAGTCATCAATTCAATAAGACTTTTTAACAATTTATCTTTAATCAAGTACATGTACATGTTACAATCTAACCATTGACTTTCCATTAAGACTGGATGATGGTGTTTAAGTCATGCTAGCTGATTACTTCCTGGGTGTCATAACCAGTAAACACAACTGTATGGATTGTGGAAGAAGAATCAAATCATAAGTAGGATGTGAACCAATGACTAAGGCTGCCACGTTTACAATTGTTTACACGATTGTTAAGAACCGAAACAATACCGTATAAACGGTGGTACTTCTATGTTCTATACTACACCATGTATTCGAGTCGCCAAACGATGACTTACTTTCTATTTTTAATACATGTACAAATAAATAATGTTCAGGGCTCATCACGATTGAGTCTGCACACATTGGAAAGTCAACTTAAAAAAAAACAAGAGGGCCATGATGGCCCTGAGGTCGCTCACCTGTATATAGGCCCCAGGAGCTGGGCCACTTTAAACCCCAGGGCTTTTATTTGAACAAACTTGGAAGACACCCATAAGAAGATGTTTCATGATGTTAAGTTTTTACTTCACACATATAATGAAAAACAATGATATCCCCCCCCCCATCAGGGCCAATTTTAACCCAAGGGCTTTTACTTGAACAAACTTGGTAGACACCCATAAGAAGATGTTTCATGCTAAACATCTAAGCTCTCTAGCTTATTGGGTTTTTTAAAAGAAGATTTTTTTAAGTTTTTGCTATACACATAATTAGTTAAAAACAATGACACCCCTGGAGCAGGGCCAGTTTTGACCCCAGGGCTTTTATTTGAACAAACTTTGTAGACACTTACTAGAAGATGTTTCATGCTTAATATCTAAACTCTAGCTATTTGGGTTTTTTCAAAGAAGTTTTTTAAGTTTTTGCTATACACAAATAAGGAAAATCAATGACCCCCGGGGCGGGGCCAATTTTGACCACAGGGCTTTTATTTGAACAAACTTGATAGACACTCATTAGAAGATGTTTCATGCTAAATTTCTAAGCTCTAGCTCTTTGGGTTCTTTAAAAGAAGATTTTTAAAGTTTTTACTATATGCATATAGGGAAAATCAATGACCCCCTGGGGCGGGGCCAATTTTGACCCCAGGGCTTTTATTTGAACAAACTTGGTAGACACTCATTAGAAGATGTTTCATGCTTAATATCTAAGCTCTAGCTCTTTGGGTTCTTTAAAAGAAGATTTTTTAAGTTTTTACTGTATGCATATAGGGAAAATCAATGAACCCCTGGGGCGGGGCCAATTTTGACCCCAGGGCTTTTATCTGTACAAACTTGGTAGACATTCACTAGAAAATGTTTCATGCCAAATATCTAAGCTTTAGCTCTTAGGGTTTTTTAAAAGAAGATATTTTAAGTTTTTTCATTTGGTTGCCATGGCAATCAGAGTTCTGCATGGGAACAATTTTTAAAGGTGACCACCAAAGGAACATTCCTGTGAAGTTTGGATGAAATTGGCTTAGTGGCTTATGAGGAGATGTTATTTAAAGTAAAAGTTTACGGACGGACGGACGCCGGACGAAAAGCGATCACAAAAGCTCACCCTGTCACTTTGTGACAGGTGAGCTAAGAAATATTATGTCAGAGCGTTATTGCACGGTATTTGGTGTGTGAAGGGTTTGTAACACAATTTTCATTTTTCTTGAATTGAACACTTATTAGGCCCAATGATCGTAAAAATCGAACTTTATAAATAATCGAGATTTTTTTTAAGACTGTAGTGGGGGCACTTACAATGAACAGTTGGGATCAATCCGATAACGCTACAAAGCCTTCTCAACAAGTAAGCTGGAAAGTTGTCGTCGAACATTTCATGACATGTTTATATGAATAATACCAGGATATTTTCAGGACTTGTTTTTCCACTGTAGCAGGGGCCGTTTACAGAAAGTTCCCCACCAGACAATAAATATAATCATACAGTCTTCCATACTACCTAGAATTCAGTTTTTCTCAGACCGAGTCTATTAGGGCCATTATCAATGCAATATTTATAATAGAGAAATAATGTTAATATTGCTATATGATCAGGTTTATTGACCGAATATAATATGCAATGAATTTCTTATTCGTGCCAGTTCATTACCAACAGAAATTATTCTTCGAATGTTAATGGATGTATCATTTTTGTATTTGTATTTGTGATTATGACTTACCTTGTTTTTTATAATCCCAATAACATCAGATTATTTTTTATCTACAAACATGTACCAGTCTACTCTGGTTGTTAAAATAATTTGTTTTAGTGGAGTGACTGTTTACATTGTACTATAATAAGGATGGTATATTAGCAACCCTACTTGTTAATTTGTCCCAATACTGTGCCAGGTTCCAGCCCTATCCATCAACATTTGCCATACAAACGCTTCTATAGTTACCTTCATTCATAATCAGTGTCTTTCTGGCTAAGAATTATTAATCTAAATATAATTTGTTTATCAACATTACTCATTTAATGTAAAAGTATTGTTATTTTAAATAGTTGGATGAAAGTTGAACATTGAACAGAAATATGTAAGTTTCTATGTCAGTCTGTATGTGCAGGAACTTGTAAGAGAGTCGAGTTCAGTTCGCAGGTCGATTAACATTTTTTTTACTTGTGATTTGTAGACCGGCAGGATCATGATTGTATACATGGTTTTCACATGTCTCTGTCCCATTACAATGTCAGATACAGTACTTTGTCATGGTAAAGAACTGATCATTACTTAGAAAGATAAAGAGTAATGGCTGGGATCTTCGTCAATAAGTTGTTGATATATTTATAACAGCCCAGTTCAATCCCATTCAGGACTGCTCATTTCTTTTTTCCTGTGACACACAGTAATTCCTTACAGATATTCAAAAACATGACATTAATACAATGTATGTTCAATACTTTAAATGTACAAACCCATCAAGGTTCATGAGACATCAGTGTTATCATTTTCAAACCTTCTGCACTGATTTGCTTTAACAAGGCTCTATATTGGTCAACACGCTCGAGGTTGCAGGGTCTAGGTTTAGCTGTATCTAAATCGGATAGTCATAATTAAACTAATAATGTTCCATGCCTGAACATAGTGATGTCTACCTCTCGTTGCTCAATTATATATGAATTTGCATAATCTATATTTATATGATCTTATCTAATGGCTTTTATGTATATCTTTAAGTTAAATCAATTGTTTATTTGCTGTTAACAGTTCAGTCATAGAAATGAGGCTTTAAATTTTATTTCCAAGCAAAGAGCTAGTAACTAAATCAATTTCAATTGTCAAATAGTACTAAATTGATATTAATATATTTCTTATCACAATACAGTAATGCATAACAAAATAACTTTGTTATTCAATTTGTCAAAAAAATAAATAAATTAAAAAAAACGAATTATGTGAACACATCACACATTAATAAATTTACAAATTAGCCTTAGTACAACGATCAGTATATACAATTACTCTACCTTGCATATTTCCTTGATTGCCTCTGCATCCAACTCTCATTTCATCTGAAGTGTAGGGGGCTTATCAGTCTTTGCTTTTTTGGCATGTTCAGTTTTCCAGTTATTTGTCTTGATTAATGGAATGATAATCTCTTTCTTTTCTTCTTTAGGCTTTAGGCTACATGTAATATATAATAAAACAACAGTATATATATGACTGTTTGTTTGTTTGGTTTCATGGCACCGTAAATAATGGCGCCAAAACAGAAAAGAT